CAAAGAATTTACCCACCTCCTGGTGTGTCTGCTGTATTCCCACCCCCCTCCTGGTTTGTGTGCCGGGGATTCCAAAACCCCACCCCCCTGGTGGTGGGCTGTTTTTCACCCCTTCTCCCCGGGGTGTGGCTGTGATTTTACCCCACCCCTGGGTTCCTGCTTTTTTTCCACCCCTCCTGGGTTGGCCCGGATTCACCCCACCTCCGCTGTGGGTGGCGTTTATTTACCCAACCCCCTGGGGTTTCTGCGTGAAACACCCACCTCCCCGGTGGGGTGTTTCCTGGGTTTTACCCCACCTCCTGGTGTGTGTGCTGTAATTTACCCACCTCCTGGGGTTCGTTGTGAAATTTACCCACCCCCCTGGTGGTGGGGCTGTGATTCACCCACCTCCGGTGTGGGCTGTGATTCCAAAACCCTCCTCCGGGGGTTTTGCTGTGACTCACCCACCTCCTGGTGTGTGTGCTGTACCACCCACCTCCTTTTTGGGGGGTTGCTGTGATTCACCCCCCCCTCCGGTGTTTGTGCTGGATTCCCCCCACCTCCGGTGTTTGTGGGTTCACCCTCCTCCTGGAAAAATTGGCTGTGACACACCTTCCTTCTGGGTGTCGTGACTCACCCTCCTCCTGGTTTTGTGCGTGGTTCAAAAACCCCCCCCCTGTGTGGTGCTTGGGTTCACCCCCCCCTGGTGTGTGTGGGTGTATTCACCCCTTTCCTCCTGGTGTGTGTGCTGTGATTCACCCACCCTTTCCCGGGGGTGTGCTGTGATTTCCCCCCCCCTTCCCCCGGTGTTTGTGCTGTGATTCCAAACCCCCCTCCTTGGGGTGTGTGTGACTCCCCACCCCCCTTGGGGGTGGCTGTGACTTTAACCCCCCCCTGGGTTTTGTTGCTGTGACTTTACCCACCTCCTGGGGTGTGTGCGTGATTTTACCCTCCTTTCCCGGTGGGGTGTGCTTGATTCACCCTCCTCCTGGTGGGGTGCCCGTGACCACCCTCCTTTTGGTGTGGGGCTGTGACTTCCCCCACCCCCCTGGTGTGTGCTGGGGATTTTACCCACCTCCCGGGGGGGTTGTGCTGTGAATTTACCCACCTCCCTGGTGTGTGGCTGTAAATCCCCACCTCCCGGTGTGTGCTGGATTCCCCCCACCTCCTTGGGGTTTTGGGGCTGTTATTCACCCCACCTCCTTTGGGGTGTGTGCCTGTGATTCCCCCCACCTCCTGGTTTTGGTTCTGTGATTCCCCACCTCCTGGTGTGGGTGCTGTTTACCCCCCACCTCCTTTTTTTGGGGTGGGTGTTGGGGGGAAAAAAAATTTACCCACCTCCTGGTTTGTGTGCTTGGGTTTCCCCCCAAACCCCCGGGTGGTGCTGTATTCACCCACCTTTCCCGGTGGGGTTTTCCGTGATTCACCCCCCTTTCCCGGGTGTGTGCGGGGACCACCCACCTCCTGGTTTTGTGTGGGTGTGATTCACCCTCCTCCGGTGTGGGGTCCCGTGTTTTACCCTCCCCTGGTGTGTGTGCGGATTCCCCCCTCCTCCTGGTTTTTTCTGTACTCCCCCTCCTTTTGGTGTGTGCGTGTACTCACCCACCCCCTGGGGGTTCTGTGATTCACCCCCCCTGGTGAGTGGCTGTGATTCACCCACCCCTTGGGGTGGTGCTGTGAAATCACCCACCCCTGGTGTTTTGCTTTTTGATTTACCCCCCTCCGGTGTGTGTGCGTGATTCACCCCCTCCGGTGTGTGTCTTTGACCAAACCCCCCCCCTCCGGGGTGTGTTGGGTTGGGCTTTACTCCTTCCCTGATTTTCTGGTTATTATCAGTTGTTTAAAATGCGTAATTTGAACTCAAGAATTTTAGTGCAAAAAGACCTTAAGATTAAGAATATAATTTTAACATGAATCACGTTGATTAAGTTGATTATATTATCCCAGATTTAGGTTAGGTCAGGTTTCTCATGAAACAGGGCAAGTAAAGAAGAAAGAGGAGCTCTACCCTGACTGGAACAATACACAAGTTGGAGAGAGGAGCTTACGACGACCTTTCGGTCCGACCTGGACCATTTAGAAAGTCACTACGACACAAAGAGGTATAATCTCTGTCAGGAAACAGGACAAGTGTTTCCTGATGCGGATCTTAGTCATATAATGACCCACAGCTGGAGCTTTTGGTTATCCGACCGAGGCCTTCCGCTGGTTTTGATAGTAAACATATTACATTAACGTCAGTAGTTATCAACAGCTGTAAAACCCAGTATTTTAATTCTTCATTGTTAACTCTGAGTAATGTATCAAAACTTGTTCTTTCCATTCGTACAGTAATAAAAAAAAACTAACATTATTTTGGTTGATCACCATCTTAATATAAATCATAAACTACGTACATAATTTTTTTTTAGAAATATATATCCGGTACAGCCCGTCATATTAAAAAATCCTGTTTTTTTTATCATTGGAAATTATAGTTCAACCTGATATGACGCTGGGAAGACTGTGACTTTTTAATACATATATCATTATTGTATTCATGAGAAGCGCTAACCCCGTACGGGTTATAGAGAGCCTGGGGAGCTGAGTATAACCAGGTTTGTTCCGACGATGAACAGGAAATGAGTGAAATGGTAAGAGAACAGTATGAGTCGGTGTTCAGCAACCCACTGAATGACAGCAAGGTAGAAAATGCAGAAATATTTTTCACTCCAGTAGAAGGCCGCACAGATCAACTAACTGATATTAGTACACATCCCATAAATTTCGATAAAGAAATGGATAACATGCTAACTCATTCAGCACCTGAACCACATTCATTGAATGCCCTGTTTATGAAAAAACTGCGAAGTACCACTAGCACGATCCCTCAGCGTCCTCTGGAGAAAGATGTAAACAGGGTTTTCCAGTGAGCAGCACTACAGAAGTGACGTTCAGTGATGATAAGTTCCAACTCCTTAGGTATGGAAAGAATGAAGAACTCAAAATGAACACTGTATACAAAACTCAAGAGGATCAGCAATCAGAACGAAAGGAACGTGTGAAACACTTGGGAATAACTGTCATCTGATCTTTCTTAAAAGAACATAATAAGAAGACAAAGGTCACGACTGCCAGGAGAATGACGGGGAGGGTATTGAGAACCTTCAAAACAAGGGATATAATACCAGTGGTGACACTTTTTAACTCGCTAGTGCTCCCTCATTTGGAATATTACTCAGTGTTAACGGCCCCGTTCAAGGCAGGAGAAATATCAGAGCAAATATCATAAATACGGAGGCCGTTTATGGTCCGCATGGAGGCAGTAAAACATTTAAATTACTGGGAACGCGTTCAAGTCTTGAATATGTACTCACTGGAGCGGAGGAGAGATACATGATAATATATACCTGGACGGTACTTCTGGTCCCAAATTTGCATACTGCCATAACAACGTACTCGATCGAGGGATATGGGAGGAAGTGCAAGATAAACCCAGTGGAAAACATTATTATAATTATTATAATCATGGGGAAGCGCTAAACCCCTAGGATTATACAGTGCATGTGGGGGGGGGATGGAAGGTATTCAGGCTCAAATCAGGGAGCTGGAGCAAAGATTTAATTCCCTAGATCAAGAGCCCTTCACCAGCATCAAGGAACCTCCCTTGAGGGGTAGTGGAAAGCAGGGGTGCGGTGGGCACAATAAGAAAAAATTGTATCAACGTTCGTGGCCTCAGATTATTCAGTATATTACCAGAAGATATCAGAAACATTGCTGGAACAAGTGTAATGTCTTCAAGAGAAAACTGGACAAGTACCATCACCAGGTGCCAGATCAACCAGGCAGTGATGGATATGTGGGGTGGCGGGCCTTCAGCAGCAACAACCTGATTGACCAGACTAGCACCAGACGAGCCGGGCCCATGGCCGGGCTCGAATCTCATCAAAGGTATAAAGGATGTGTAGAATAGAGGCTGTTGTGTATGGGTTCACGACTAGGGTCTGCCCCCTCACCCTCAAAGTAGTGGGTACATACCCCTACGCTACACCGGAGGCAGTGTGGTTTCGTGATAGACCATGGGTTGTCCAGGTCTCTGGTGCAGGAGGTAGCCCACCTTGACGCAACCCCAATGAACAAGTGCGCACTTAATACACTTGGGATACATGCAAGGTGGTAGCTGTAGGAGCACCTAAGAATACCTGTGTATGGAGTCAGGTTCCACGGTCTCGTCTGTAGTGAGGTGTCCCGGTATATATCCGTGTCGCGGCTTTAATGGATAATCAACGATAATGTCCAGGGAAATTGTCCAGTGTTGCTCACTCCTCAAGTGTGACTGGGCCCACCTAAGGCCGGCATTGTTGCTCAAAAGGAAGGGGCGGGGGGTGAAGTGGGGCCCCAGGACATACCGTAGAACTAAGCTAAATTGTCTAAATAAACAAATAAATGTAGTAATAATGTACGATACAGTAGCCTGTAAAGGCACAGTAACTAGGCTATGTCCTAGAAGTTAAGTGTATATACAGAATTGATACCTCTCCTTAGGCTTCGTCTCTCCCCGTAACTCCAGTCTGGGTGGTGGCTGTAACGGTTTCTGGGAAATTCAAGCGATATTTCCCACAAAAGCAGCATGAGGGGTAGCTCCAACTGATTGGATCAAAACCCCTTCACCAACATTAATGATGCTTTATACTTGAATATTAAACATCATCAACTATGGAAGACTGCATGAACTTACTGAATTATGTGAGCTAAACAGCTCTTCAAAATTTTAGAATCATTCATAAGTTGGGTCGGGGATTATGTTTGCTTTCTGTTTTATCTGAAATTATTTTTTACAGATAAAAGTTAAACACAATAATAACATGTAAAATCTTATTAAAATCTTTAAATGCAGATAATTTTTAAAAAAATTGCATAATAAAATAATTTTCGGTTTTACTATATTCATTTGGAAGTGTTTTATCTGCAAGGGTCATACATCGCCTTGGAAAAAAGTGTTAATTAGTGTTGATCTAAGCCTTAGATCAATTCAGTCTAAGGAATGGAGGGTAATCTGGGCGTGAGAGCCCTACTTACCTGGTCCTTGGGAACCTTGCGGTACTTCCACTTTAGGTACTCAGTGCGGGTGATATCCATTCCTCGCCCGTTGTTGTACATAAAAATAGAGAACTCCTCTAAGATTAGACGCTCCACTTCTTTTCCTCCTCCTCGAGTGTACTCCTCAAGTAACCGCCCTCCTGTACCAAGAACATGCTTATCAGATACACATAAGTATGTACACCCAAGTGCACGCCTACCACGAGCAAAGCTCTGTTCCTGTAGCCACAAATAAATAACAAGAGATACGAATGACCTTGCTTGCACCTGAATTGGCTTGAACATGATCTGAACTGCTGACCTGTTCATATAAACACTTAGGAATATACTTGTAAAATGTACTTACCTTTCTTGTAGTCAGCGAGGCGGTAGAGAACACAGTCGTCGCTGGAGGCCTGAGAGATGACTCTGTCTAGGGCTGAGCCTGGGTTGATTGCCTCCTTCTTCGTGGCACACGCACCCATTGGATTCCCCTCACTTTAGCTACGTTATACTAATTGGATCTTTCTCTGTTCAGGCCTTCCTTCGAACCGAATCCCCCTTGCTGGGATCTCCCACCTGGATCCTCCTTATTCCTAGGTCCTCTATAACTGGATTCTCCTCCTAACCGGGACCTCTTTGTAATAGGCTCTCTCTTCCCTACCCTCTGGTTTTGTCAAAAGTCTTCATTTGCTTTATTTACTGCTGGGTTGGCGACCTTCACGACCTCTTGGTCTTGCAGCTCCTTACAGCTGACTCCTTCCACATCCACTTGTCAAATACCTGTTTAATTTAAACATAATCAGGCAGTATCCCAGAGTCATTGTTAGACTAGAATTCACAAATTGGGTCACATAATTTTGATAGTGATGTAATTTTGTTAGTTGTGTGTGTGTGTGTGTCCTCACCTAATTGTACTCACCTAACTGTAGTTGAAGGGGTCGATTCATAGCTCCTGGCCCCGCCTCTTCACTGGTCGCTTCTAGGTGTGTGTGTGTGCACTCACAAAAAACACAGGTACAGATGTGTACACAACGTAACAATACACTTGGTTTGGCCAATAGAATTTACAACTTATCGACTACAATAGGGTCACTAAAGCTTCATGTAACCCGTTCATCACCTGCCAAGAATACTTTAATCCCTAAAGTAAGGACTAAATATATTACCGTATTTGGTCAAGTGGACATAAAGCCTATCGCCATGCCATTGTGTCGACCAGCAATCACAACAATTTTTAATCCCAAATATGAGCCTATGGGGATTAAAGTAGACTCTAATTATTTATCATATATTGGGATACATATCAATGTAAGAATCCACAACTAAATATACTTTATCACCTTCGAAACAAAAAATTACAAGATCTTTATTGATCTATTGATTTACAAAGGTACAAGGGTACAGGTACGCGCACACATAAACGATTTTATAATGCACATTTTTACCCATATATGTGTTTTCAGCGTGCAGGTACATATAAATGATTAATACTACACATGGACACACATACACAGCGTTTGTGTAGACAAGTGCACTTTATTATGAACATGTATACACACAGAGATGCACAAGGAGGGGTGAAGATGGATCACTTGTGGTATTGTTGGTTCAGTAATGTGTATATATTTTACGTTTGCAACGATGGGTGGACTTACTGATGTTTTGTTTATGCTGTGAGTGTAACGTATGACCACTGTAGTAGGGATGTGATGGGACCTCTTATAGCATGGTAATGACTGGACCTTATGAAGCACGGTAATGATTGGACCTTATATAACATGGTAATGATTGGACCTCTTAAAGCTGGGTAATGACTGGACCTTATATAACATGGTAATGATTGGACCTTATGAAGCACGGTAATGATTGGACCTTATATAACATGGTAATGATTGGACCTCTTAAAGCTTGGTAATGATTGGGCCTCATATAACATGGTAATGATTGGGCCTCATATAACATGGTAATGATTGGGCCTCTTAAAGCTTGGTAATGATTGGGCCTCATATAACATGGTAATGATTGGGCCTCATATAACATGGTAATGATTGGGCCTCATATAACATGGTAATGATTGGGCCTCATATAACATGGTAATGATTGGGCCTCATATAACATGGTAATGATTGGGCCTCATATAACATGGTAATGATTGGGCCTCATATAACATGGTAATGATTGGGCCTCTTAAAGCTTGGTAATGATTGGGCCTCATATAACATGGTAATGATTGGGCCTCATATAACATGGTAATGATTGGGCCTCATATAACATGGTAATGATTGGGCCTCATATAACATGGTAATGATTGGGCCTCATATAACATGGTAATGATTGGGCCTCATATAACATGGTAATCAGTTGATCTCTTATAGCAATGTAAAAATTAACGATTGGACCTTATATACAGTATATATACGTTCAAGCCATGTAGGAGGCTGTCTATCCGAAGTAGGTCTACCTGAAGCAAGCAGGTTCACACTAGGTACGAAGCTATGTATGTAAAGTAGGTACACGACAGGTAGGAGACTGTCTACCTGAAGCAAGCAGGTTCACACCAGGTAGGAAGCTATGTACATAAAGTAGGTACACGACAGGTAGGGGGCTGTCTACCTGAAGCAAGCAGGTTCACACCAGGTAGGAAGCTATGTACATAAAGTAGGTACACGACAGGTAGGGGGCTGTCTACCTGAAGCAAGCAGGTTCACACCAGGTAGGAAGCTATGTACATAAAGTAGGTACACGACAGGTAGGAGACTGTCTACCTGAAGCAAGCAGGTTCACACCAGGTAGGAAGCTATGTACATAAAGTAGGTACACGACAGGTAGAGACTGTCACCTGAAGCAAGCAGGTTCACACTAGGTACGAAGCTATGTATGTAAAGTAGGTACACGACAGGTAGGAGACTGTCTACCTGAAGCAAGCAGGTTCACACCTGGTAGGAAGCTATGTATATAAAGTAGTAACGACAGGTAGGAGACAGTCTACCTGAAGCAAGCAGTTCACACCAGGTATGGAAGTGAAGTAATAAAAGTAGGTACACGACAGGTAGGAGACTGTCTACCTGAAGCAAGCAGGTTCACACCTGGTAGGAAGCTATGTATATAAAGTAGGTACACGACAGGTAGGAGACTGTCTACCTGAAGCAAGCAGGTTCACACCAGGTAGGAAGCTATGTATATAAAGTAGGTACACGACATGTAGGAGACTGTCTACCTGAAGCAAGCAGGTTCACACCAGGTAGGAAGCTATGTACATAAAGTAGGTACACGACCAGTAGGGGGCTGTCTACCTGAAGCAAGCAGGTTCACACCAGGTAGGAAGCTATGTACATAAAGTAGGTACACGACAGGTAGGGGGCTGTCTACCTGAAGCAAGCAGGTTCACACCAGGTAGGAAGCTATGTACATAAAGTAGGTACACGACAGGTAGGAGACTGTCTAACCTGAAGCAAGCAGGTTCACACCAGGTAGGAAGCTATGTACATAATGTAGGTACACGACAGTGTAGGAGACTGTCTACCTGAAGCAGCATGTTCACACCAGGTAGGAACTATGTACATAAAGTAGGTACACGACTAGGAGGAGCTGTCTACCTGAACAAGCAGGTTCACACCAGGTAGAAGCTATGACATAAGTAGGTACACACAGGTAGGAGACTGTCTAAACCCGAAGCAAGCAGGTTCACACCAGGTAAGAAGCTATGTATATAAAGTAGGTACACGAAAGGTAGGAGACTGTCTATCTGAAGCAAGCAGGTTCACACCAGGTAGGAAGCTATGTACATAAAGTAGGTACACGACAGGTAGGAGACTGTCTACCTGAAGCAAGCAGGTTCACACCAGTAGGAAGCTATGTAAAATAAAGTAGTACACGACAGGTAGGGGGCGTCTACCTGAAGCAAGCAGGTTTCACACCAGGTAGGAAACTATGTACATAAAGTAGGTACACGACAGGTAGGGGCTGTCTACCTGAAGCAAGCAGGTTCACACCAGGTAGGAAGCTATGTACATAAAGTAGGTACACGACAGGTAGGAGACTGTCTACCTGAAGCAAGCAGGTTCACACCAGGTAAGAAGCTATGTATATAAAGTAGGTACACGAAAGGTAGGAGACTGTCTATCTGAAGCAAGCAGGTTCACACAGGTAGGAAGCTATTACATAAAGTAGGTACACGACAGGGAGGAGACTGTCTACCTGAAGCAAGCAGGTTCACAAACCCGGTAGGAAGCTATGTCATAAATAGGGTCCGACAGGTAGGGGGGTGTCTAAATTGGGAAACAAGCAGGTTCACACCAGGTAGAAGCTATGTACATAAAATAGGTACACGACAGGTAGGGGGCTGTCTACCTGAAGCAAGCAGGTTCACACCAGGTAGGAAGCTATGTACATAAAATAGGTACACGACAGGTAGGGGGGATCTGTTACCGAAGCAAGCAGGTTCACACCAGTAGGAAGCTATGTACATAAAATAGGTACACGACAGGTAGGGGGCTGTCTACCTGAAGCAAGCCCGGTTCACACCCGGTAGGAAGATATGAACATAAAGTAGGTACACGACAGGTAGGGGCTGTCTACCTGATAACTAGAGTGTTTTACATGCTTAAAGTTGGTCGATTAACTAATCAATATCAGCCCAAAATTGCAGAAGAGGGTTTTTAAACAAAGTGATAAGAAATGTGTGGGTAAAAAATGGGAACCTTTATTGAAATTAGGACAAAGCTTTTGTCTTCAAGCTTTCTGAGCTGAAAAAACTCTTGAATCTCGCAGCTTGAAGACTTGAAAACACTTGATACCGAAGCTTCAGTTATGTTAATGTGAAAAAATTAACAATTTTGTACTATAAGAACCCAAGAAAACTTACGAACTAGTGGTATTTAATCAATAACAACACTGCGACTAGCCAAGGACTCGAACCCATGTCGTTTTGGCTTGCCTGATGTGAGAGAAAATCACATGACGCTCTAACCCACAGGACCACCAAATCCTACAAGAATCAAGCGCCCAGCAGAGCTAGGTGTTTTATCTTGATCCGAGGACATACGGTGGTGTCGGTGCCTCTGAGCTAATTTCATCCCACTCACCTCAAACAGTATTTTATATTATTGTAACCACGAACGAGCGGTATTTAATCAATAACAACACTGGTTCGTGGTTACAATGATATATAATACTGGTCGTAAGGTCAGTGCACCAAACGGGGAGTAGAATGAAATTAGCTCAGAGGCACCTACACCACCGTATGTCCTCGGATCAAGATAAAACACCTAGCTCTGCTGGGTGCTTGATTCTTGTACTGTGCGTTAGAGCGTCATATGAATTTTCGCTCACCATGAGGCGGGCCAAAACGACATGGGTTCGAGTCCTTGGCTAGTCGCAGTGTTGTTATTGATTAAATACCAATCGTTCGTAAGTTTTCTTAGGTTCTTATGGTACAAAATTATTAATTTTTCACATTACCATAAATGAAAAAATATATCTTTAAGGGAATAAGAGAAAATTTTAGAAAGGACTTAATTTTAAGTGAGTTCTTGCTAATTGACCAGTTTTACCTATTCGGCACGATACACACACACACACAAACACACACACACACACACACACACACACACACGCACACACACACACACACACACACAGATCTTGGGGTGAGTATAACACCAGGCACATCTCCTGAAGCGCACATCAACCAAATAACTGCTGCAGCATATGGGCGCCTAGCAAACCTCAGAACAGCATTCCGACATCTTAATAAGGAATCATTCAGGACCCTGTACACC